CCCCAAATATATACTACAGGGTATCCCCCCAAATGTAAGCACACTTTGATGCTGATAACTCATTTTTCACTCCATTTCAGGGTTAGCGGATTTGACGTAATGGGTGAAGCCAGACTAAGTTTTGAGCAGAGAAGATGTATCCTCTGGACTGTCTTTTGGGGACACATAAGGATGAGGTGTCTGGGCCACAGTCAGGCGTGGCGGCCGCTGTGGACAGAGGAGGCGCACAAACAGAAGCAGCGGATCTTGGTGTTTGCGGTTCCATTGCTTCCTCAGCAGCAGCGCCAGGACTGAGGCGAACGATGGAGGCGCAAACAACAAGAATTGTCCCTTCGGTTTGGGGTGTATATCTCTCTCTCCACAGCTGCCCTGGACTCCTCAATCGTTGTCGGTCGTGTACCATACCTTTATCTTTTATGGATCCGCATAGAAAGCCGAGTGGGGAAATTTTCTTCGCTCAAAGCCTAGACCTTCTTCAGTCATTTCTTCAAATCAGTGAGACTTGAAAAGGGGTGGAAATTCAGTGAGTTGTCAGCTGTTAAAGTGTGTGCACATTTTTTGGAACACTGCATTTTCCATTGGGAGTCATTCCCTTTCACCAGAGTCACACCTGAGTGTGTGTGTGTGTGTGTGTGTGTGTATATATATATATATTTTTTTTTTTTTTTGCGGGAGGTAGGGGACACACACACACCCTATATTTATGTTCAAAAGGCAGTCATTCTCTTCCTTCGGATTGATATTATTTCTTCTCACAGCACATTTTTTGGACCACCCTATGTTCACATTTCATAGGGAGTCATCCATGTTTGTCGGGAGTCTGACCTCTGTGTACCTTACTTGGGGGACACTCCATGTTCATGTTCTATAGGGAGTCATTGGTTTGCATCGGGAGTCTCACCTGCTGTGTGTGTTTGGCCGGTTCCTGACACACTTTGTTTCCCTTGTTACAAAGGTGCTCATCATGGGATGTACTACACCTGGAGATTGGGGTTTTCTAAAGATTTTCTCCGTTTGAGCTAAAGTACTGAGAAATGTTAACATGGTCAGTTATCAAAGTACTGTGAGTTGTCAGTTCAGTAGCCGTTGATTCTGTAACACTAGGACAGGTTTGTAATAAAATGAGATGTAGAATTGAGTCCTAGTTTTTCTCACTGCTTGTTACTGGCGGTGTTTTTGGGGTGTAGGGTCTTCGGGCTCCCTCCATCAGCCCCCCAGTCTCCCAGCCCCCGGAATCCACCAGCTCCCTTTGCCAGAGGTCAGAGCATGGGAAGTGAGGCTTCCCGTTTACCAGGCAACAGCGTTTATTTTACGCTCCTGTCAGTTGAATCCCATTTGGATTTGGGATTTATCTCGCAACAGGCCGCCTGCCCTGCGCCTTTGGCTTTTGCAGGATCTGACACTGGCCAGTCACCCCTCAGAGCTCTCAGCCTCTGTCCCCTGGCTCTCTCCTGGCTGGGACAGCCCTTCAGGGCTCACACTTGCCATTCGTTCTCTCACTCACTCATTCCCTCCACAAACACTCAGTGACCGCTCCTGTGTGCTCACTCCCGGGTTCCACCATGGAGGCAGCGCCCTCCAGGCCCCTCTGTAGGGCTGACCACCTGCTCCCCTAGCACTGACCACTCCTGAGCTTCAGGCCTGAGGTCGGCTGCCTTAGACCTTCTGCCCGGGCTGCAGGCTTCCTCCACTCCTGGCTCCTCTGGGCTCCCTACTTATCCAAGCACACCAGCTGTCAATCACAGAAGCCCAAAGCCTCCTCTTTCCACTTCCCACAGGTGGTAGCTTCCCTGAACCTGGGAATGGGCATGGAATCTGTCCGCCCATCTCAGCTGACTGTTCTCATCCCATGTCCCCCCGACACCCCTGTCCCTGGGTTGTGGCAGGAGCTTGTCAACTGGTCTGCCTGCCTCCCGCGACTCCTCAGCCCCATGGCGCCTCTCAGCATTCACCCTGGTGACCTTCCTTTTTGAACCTCCCCTCCCTCAGCCTCCACCCTAGCTACACATTTCTTTGTCGTCTAGCTTCTCCGTGGGTCACTTCAGGGTGCACCCAACCCTCTATTAACCCCCCAACCCCCAGCCCCAGGGAAGCTCATACACACCCACAGCTTTCACTGCAATCTTCCCAGAAGGCTCCACGCACCTGCAGCCCCAGCCTCTCCTGGGAACCTCCAGACCTGTTTCCAGCGTGGATGTCCCAAGACACCTCCCACTTAGAATGCTCAGCACACGGTTCTCCATCCTCCCCACCAAAGCTTCTGTGCGCCTCCTCTCCCACCTCTGTCCCCTCAGCCAGACCATGTTGGGCATCCCCCTCTTCTCCCCATGTCCTGTCCATCACTCCCTCAGCTGCTTCCCACTCTGATGTCTCGCTCACATACCCAGCCAACCCCAGGTGGGGCCCCCCCCTGGACAGCACCATGGGATCCCATCCTGAGGGGGCGTCCCAAACCATGCCCTGCTGAGCTCCAGGGCCCCACCTCTGCCCTGCCTGGGCGCTGTGCGATGTGGGGGGAGGGGAACCTCCAAGTGCCCGCTGAGGGCTGAGGGCTGCGGGCTGAGGGCTGCCTGCAGAGAGGGTGGGGTCACCTGTGGCACCAGAGGGGCTCTCCCTGGGAGAACAACAAAGTGAGAGCATTAGAGAACATGCGACAGACCTTGGGAAGGAAGCATCAGCCAAATACCAACCAGCCAGAGGAAGAATGTTTACATGTATGCACTCACATACACATGTATGTATACATGTATGTACACAGCCCATCAATTTCCTTAGAAAGCTGTCATTGATTTTGCTAAACGGGTGTATTTAGAGCCCACCTATGCTTGCCCTTGACTGACAGATGACTGTGGTTCCAATGTGAATGTTGGATGATATTTTATGTTGGCAAGTAAAAGAAGCTGAAGGTGTGAGTGAGAACCTCACTCAATTAGGCAGTCCTTTTCTGAGTGGCAGCCTAAGTCCCTCAGTTTCTCATAATGTATTTGTATTGTAATGTCTACACACATTGTTTTTTAAAAAACAGAAATACAATGTACATATCACAATATTCACCCAAGACATACTTTTAAGTTTAATCTTTTAACGTTTTCTCCATCACTCTTGTATCTAGAGAGATTAGACACTAAAGAAAACAAATCAAGCCCTGGTGTGGTAAGACTTGCCAATTTCCTTGGTGTAAATATTTTCACTACAGCTGATTTCAAGCTGCCAACCTGGATCCCTCACCACCAAGATGGGAATAGACATGCGGTGCCACCTGTTCTACAATATCACCTCCTTGCAGGCACAGCAGGTATGAATAACCCAAGAGCATAGGTAACAGGAAAACAATTACAAGTGGCACGTTGGTGGTATTTATTAAGTTTATTTTAAAATGTGTTTTACTGATTGTAGAAAGAGGAATCGGGAAAGAGATCAATGTGGGAGAGAAACTGATCGGTTGCCTTCAGAACACACCCCCACCAGGAACCAAACCCACACCCTGGGCTTGTGCCCTGACTGAGAATGGAACTGGTGACCTTTTGGTACACAGGACAATGCCCAACCCACTGAGCGACACCGACCAGGGTATTGCCTTTGTTTTTAACATGAATTATTTAATCACGGGTTCACATAAGTTTATTGATAGTCATGGCTGTGTTTAAAACCTGGCGTGTGAAGTTCCTGGAAACACTGACCAGTCGGCTCACACGCTGGCTCCAGCTCAGCAAGGGGGCACTGCCTTGTAGGGTGGCTGAAAGGAAGGGGCCTGTGTGAGCCCTCTGCCAGCGCATACATTGGACCCAAGCTAGGCGCTGCTCAGGACCATGGTCAGAAGGATGGAAGTAGAGATGGGGCACTCAGATACAAACTGTCCAAGGTCTGGAGAGGTCATGTGATGGGCTTGGGGTCATGCAAGTCAGTGCCAGGCCCAGGACCTGCTGTGCAATAGAGCCACCACCAGGCCACCTGCAGCAACTCCACCCCCATTGGCAATGGCAGCTGCTGACATCAACTTGGCCTCCATCTTTAAGGAGGCGGGGATTCCGAGCTGGTGAAGCTCATGGCGCCCAGCACCAAGGGCGTAGTGCCAAGGCCAACACATGGGGGAAGAAGCCTTTGAGCTTGGCCCTATGGAACAGGCCCCTTCAGATCTCCATGTCATCTTCCTGGGGCATGAACTTGGGGTCTGCTTTACTCTTGTGAGAGTCACAGAACAGGGACAGGGACCCAATACAAAGAAAGATTTTAGGTATGAACACAAGCTAGTGGAATGGATGAATTCCACTATAAAAATAGTTAAACCTATTTTTTTTTTGTCAGATTGGCAAAAACCATATTTTTTGGTGTGCCTCAGCATTTTAGTAACTCGTGTATGTGTTCATAAGATGAAAAAGGCTGTTCTAGAGTCAGGATGGAGCCAGACCCTGAGTCCTGGGAGGGGAGAAGAGGGGGTGGATAATGCCTGAGGCTGCAGGGCTTGATAGCGAGTCAGTGGCTCAAACTGTGAGCCCAGAGCCAGGTCATCCTACCACACTGGCTCTGGCTGAGATGTTCGAAGACACTTGGTCCAGGTCCCCATCTGAAGAGCAGCAAGCTGAGGCTCAGAGGGGAGACCTGACCTCAGGCTCACACGTGAGTGACAGTACTGACCTGGCTTCCAGGGGCAGAGGTATTGGTTCCTACAGAGTTCCCGCTAGCTCGCCCTGCCCTGCCCTGTCCACAAGGACGGAGCACGGCACCAGAGAACCTGAAAGCATCTCCTCTTTTTTTCTTTCCTTTTATTTTTTAAAATATATTTTATTAATTTTTTTACAGAGAGGATGGGAGAGGGATGGAGAGTTAGAAACATCGATGAGAGAAGCATTGATCAGCTGCCTCCTGCACTCTCCCTACTGGGGAGGTGCCCCAGTCAAGGTACATGCTCTTGACTGGAATTGAACCTGGGACCCTTGAGTCCAAAGGCTGATGCTCTAGCCACTGAACCAAACCTGCCAGCGCTTCTCTTTCTTATCCTCATCCGAATTATTCTTGAAGGGACGCCACATCCAGGCCCCAATAGATGACCCAGTGGCACCCAGGAGGATTTTGGATGACAAGGAGAGTCCAGCTGCCCCTGGGGAAGAAGAGAGGGTGAAACCACAGGGGCACAGGGTGCCCTAGCAGCCCCTGGAAAGGGCGGAGGTCAGAGATCCCAGGGAACCTCAGGCAGCCAGAGGCCCCAGCATCCCACTCCTGCTACCTCCTACTTCCTAAAACCTTAGGATGTCTGCTCTGGGGAGCAGCTGCCCAAAGAGGAGGCATGAACTCTGGTGGTGAGTCCCCCAGTGACAGGGCAGACCTTGTGAGAAATAGCAGGCACCTCACCTTTCAGAAGAGGCTGGGGTCTAGAACTGGGGAATGGGGTGTTCCCAGGTTTTGTAGGGTTGCCTGAAAAAGCATACCTGCTGGACTGTACCCGTGCACCCACCCCATCAAACCAAAAGAGGGACAGCAGAGGGGAGACAAAGGACCAGGATCTGAGGACCACACCACTGGAAGGAGAGGACAGGCCCTCCCTCAGGCTTAGGCTCTGGGCTGAATCCCATCCTGGCTCTGTTCCTCCCTTCATCCCTCCCTCCTCCTGCTCAGGACACCTACCTACTGACTGCAGAGTGGCCACCAGGCTGCCGGCAGCAACTCCACCCCCATTGGCAATGGCAGCTGATGACATCATATTGGCAGCTATGGAGGAGGCAGCGATGCCTGTGCTGGTGAAGCCTATGGCGCCCAGCACCACGGGCACAGCACCCACGGCCACCACTGTGGGGGAAAAAGCATTTGAGGTTGACCCCCATGGGACAGGCTCCTTCAGGTCTCCCTGTCATCTTCCTGGGGCATGAACTTGGGGTCTGCTGTTCCCTGGGAGAGGCACAGGGCAGGGTCAGGCACCCAAACACAAGGGAAGGCTGTAGGTGTCACAGAAGCGAGTCACTGGGTCCCAGGACTCTGCAGGTCTCTGTGTTGCTGTGACACCTGGGAGGCTCACAGCCGTCCTGGCCCGAGCTGCCCTTGTGGGAACTATTGTAAATCAGTTGAAACAAGCAGTGGCCTTCAAGCTTCCCCTTTGGTAGGAAAACTCCCCTCCCGCCCAAGCACAGGGTCAGCAGAAGATGACATCAGCGCTGCTCTTCTGCAGAGGTGATGGGGTGGGGGCTCCTGCTCTCTGCTCTCAGGGCCTGTAGCAGTGTATGTGGGGCTGCCTCCGCATCTTACATCTCCAGAGCAGTCCAGTAACAGAACATTCAACAAAGAAAATGTTATGGCCAAAACTGGTTTGGCTCAGTGGATAGAGCGTTGGCCTGGGGACTGAAAGGTTCCGGGTTCGATTCCGGTCAAGGGCATGCACCTTGGTTGCTGGCACGTCCCCAGTAGCAGGTGTGCAGGTGGCAGCTGATTGATGATTCTCTCTCATCAATGTTTCTAACTCTCTATCCCTCTCTCTTCTACTCTGTAAAAAATCAATAAAATATATTAAAAAAAATAAAATATATTTTAAAAAAAGAAAAGAAAATGTTCTGTACCTGCTCCATCCAATACTGTAGTCACATGGCTTTTGAGCATCGAGGTGTGGCTAGTGTGACAGAAACGTTTCATTTGAATTCTGGCCCCTGTATTGGAGGATCCTGCTCAGGAGCACAGCTAACCCCTGGGCTCACTGGAGGACCTGCCAGGGCGCCCAGAGCAGCTCCGGGGAACCAGACACAGCTCCGCTCCCACATTCCCCACAGCCCTGCCCTCTGGGAGGAAGCCTGGGCTCAGGCAGATGGAAGGGCCACAGGTTTACACCAGCAGAAGCTGAGCTGGGACTGGGGTGTGTTCATGGCTTTGCTTTAGTTTCTGTGCTCTAAGGTTCACCTCTGCTACTTCACCTCTGTCCCCTGCCCACTCCCCCTGTCCCACCCGCATTCTGAGGCTCCAGGGAATCCTGGGCTGGGTCACCGGAGGTTGCTCCCAGAAGCCCAGAGCCAGATGGGGGCTTGACCTCCTTCCCAGAGAGACTCACCTCCTCCGAGCACGGCTAGACCAACCTTGCCTGGACACAAAGAGAATGCATGTGAGTGTGACACGCTGGCCTCACCGCCCTTCCCGCTGCCACCCACAGTGGGGAGGCGGCTCTGGAGCCGGGATCAGAGGACAGAGCAGCTCCTGCCTGAGGTCAGAGTTACTGAGCATGTGGACGGGGGAAGCCCACAGCGCTGAGGCATTCCAGATGGGGAAGGGCAACAGCTTGAAAAGACTCCACGTGCTCTTGGAGGGGACACAATATAACCCCCATGGCTGCCCCTCATTCGTCCCATGTCCTCTGTGCCCTCCTCACCCAAGTGGATTCTATATCAGCCCATCACATGTGCCCCTTGAAGACCATTGACTCTCTCCCATACTCTTCCTCTTTTGTGCTGCAACCTACCAAGTTTCCTGTTCTCTTCACTCCCCCCACTCTGAGAACTCCCAGCATTTACAACTTCTCCCCAATCTTCAAACCTGCACCTCCACCCTCCTGGTTCTCTACTTCCTATTTAACTCAGAAAAGGAAGGCAACCAGGAGAAACAACTGGGGTGATGCAGCCAGGATTTCTGGCAGCCACCAGAAGTGAGAAGAGGCATGGGACAGGTCCTCCCCTGGAGCCTTCAGAAGAAGCATGGCCCCGTGGACACCTTGATTCGGGACTTCCAATCCCCAGAACTGTAGGAGAGTACATTTCTGTTGTTTAAAGCCACTCAGTGTGTTTAGGATTGGTTAGGAGCATTTCCTCACCTGGCCTTCAGGAACCGTCCTTTCTCACTTCTCTTCCTACCACACCTGCCTCTGCTCAGTCTCCTCCCCTCTCCCTGATCTCTGAAGGTGGCATGTCCAGGGCTCTGTCCTCAGACCCCTCCTCTGCTTTAACTCCACCTCTTGGGTGCCTCACCCAGTCCATGATTTTCAGGACAACTGCATTCTGATGACACACAAATTGATAAGTCCAGCCCAGACCTATTCCCACAGCCCTCACGATTGGGATTACATAGTTCCCTTACAGAAGAAGCCCCAGAGAGCCCCTTCATTCCTTCCTCCATGTGAATTTACAGCTAAAAGTGGTTGTCTAGGAAGCGGGCTCTCACCAAACTTATCTGCCAGGGCCTTCATCTTGGACATTCCACCCTTCAGAACTGTGAGAACTAAGCTGTGTTGCTGATGAGCCCACAGTCTAGGGCATTTTGTTACAGCAGCCTTAAGTGACTATGACAGCACACAATCAATGAGTGGAAAGGAAATCTACAGAATGGGAGGAAATATTTCCAAACCATATATCTGATGAGTTAATATTCAGAATATATAATGAATTCCCATGAAAACAAACTACACAAATAACCCAATTAAAAAAAAAACAAAAAAAAACAGGCAAAGCTGAAGCCAGTTTGGCTCAGCGGTAGAGCGTCGGTCTGCGGACTGAAAGGTCCCAGGTTCAATTCCGGTCAAGGGCATGTACTTTGGTTGTGGGCACAACCCCGGTGGGGTGTGTGCAAGAGGCAGCTGGTCGACGTTTCTAGCTCTCTCTCTCTCCTTAAAAAATCAATAAAATATATTAAAAAAAACAAAAACAAAAACAAAAACAAAACAGGCAAAGAGTCCAGCAGGGTGGCTCAGCTGGTTGAGTGTCCTCCTGTACACCAACCTGCGGGTTTGATTCTGGGTCAGGGCATGTACCTAGATTTTGGGTTTGATCCCCAGTTGGGCACGTATGAGAGGCCTTTAGGAAGTGGCTATAGGATTAAGCCTCAGATTGATCTGTTGCAAAGTCACAAACAAGTCCCAGTTTAGGGGGCAGAGCTCTCCTAGCATAATTAAGCTTGACCTTATAGCTTCCCTAGATCCTTCCCAGGTAGCTAACGGGAACACTGTAACTATTTCGACCACTTGCTTGTTTTTCTCTGACTATAAAGTAAAGCCTCATCTTGCCGGTTGGATCTTTTCTGTGTCCTCATCCATGCATGGGAGATCCATGGAGCCCCAGCTATATTCTCTTTGTCTTTTCTTTAATCCTTCCTCCCAGCTCCTCAGGTTCAACCTTGACCGTGCTGACACGGCACAGAGGCCACCAATCGCTGTTTCCCTCACCTATGGAGAACAGTATGGAGGCTCCTCAAACAATTAAATTAGAGTTCCAAATGATCAGCAGTCCCACCTCTGGGTATTTGCCTAAGGACCTAAAAATGGAGTCTAGAAGAGATACCTGCACCCCGTGTTCATAGCAGCATTATTTACAATGGCCACGAGGTGAAAGCAATCCAAACATCCAAAGGTTGATGAATGGATAAACAAAATTCTGGCGCATGGGTGAACCTTGGGACATTATGCTAAGGGAAACCAGTGAATCACAAAAAAGACAAATACCGTATGATTCCACTGTGGGCGAATGAAAGGGATTCTATGGAAAGTAACTTCCCATGGTGATCTGACCACACATTCCTAACAGGGCAGGTCATGGTGGAGAGTGGCTTCCCGGATCTATGACTTCTTTAGTGAAAGGTTTTATGCCAGTCCTGCCCAGTGTTGTGGTGCATCTAAGCAGTTTTAATCCTCAAGAGAACACCTCCTCCTGTTAACTTTCCTCAGCCCAATCCCCATCTGGCTTCCTTCAGTCTTCCTTTGTCTCTCCCCTCCCTCCCCCCTTCGTTTCAAATGCACAAAAGAGCCTGCAAAACTGTTAACACTCAGGAACATTTGAGATCTTGCGTCAGTTTGGCTCAAATAAATTCTTATAGGAATTCTCTACATATTTAGACATTTCTGACATCACCACCACTCAGATGAAAGCCCTCAGACCAAATTCCATGTTGCGTGGATCTTGCCACAATTTAAAACACACACAGAGTGGACCTTGTGCTGCCCTGTCCCTGGGCTGGCCCCAGCTCAGTGGTGAGCCTGCTCTGCAAGGATGTGTCCCGGCAGGAAAGGATTGACCAGGCTGTGGTGTGTCAACAGGGGGAGGAGCACACAGGAGAAATGAAACTTACCCAGGCCTTGGTGGGGTGGGACCAATAGGTCCGCTGGCAATGGACTTAAACTGGCAAAGAGCCAGTGCCAAGCTGACTAGAAGCTGAGCAGCAGACCTTTGTGATGAGCTAATGACAAAATCCTACCCTGGCACTTAGAAACAAACGGAGCAAGGTTTTCAGAGGGCAGGTATCTGGCCTGGGGTCAGGCAACAGGTCAGTCCAAGAGCCAGGACCTGGAAGGCAGTCCCTCTGACTCCAGAGCATCGCTGGCTTCATTGCCCCTTCTCTGGTGATCTGGGTGTAGTAGAGCTTCCCACCAGGGACATGTGCCTCAGTGCTCACAGCTGAGAAAGCTAAGCTGAGCAGTGATGGTGGGGTGAGGCCTCAGTGCCCAGGGACCAGTTACCTGCAGTGCTGGCGAAATTGCTTTTTTTGTCTTTGGACTGCCTCTTGGAATTATTCCATGGCCACATTGGGGGACCTGATGGGGGTCCTGGTGGTGGCACCCCAGGAGTAGAACCAGCAGAGGATGGCTGGGAGGGTTCTTCCTCCTCTGGAAGAGAAGCAGAAAAAGAGCAAACAGAAGGCGGCAGATGTGGGACCAAAGGCTGCTGCCCCAGGCCCCCGAGGAGGGCTTGAGGCCCATAGACAGCACACAGCACCCTCCACCATTTCCCAACAACTCTGACTGGGGAGGGGTCGTCTGTGGCAACTGTGCTGGTAGGTGATGGGAATCCTTGGAGATGAGCCCAAGGAGGAGCCAGTGGGAGACCTGGCTGGCAACTGAGAACTGGCAGGTCCCTTACTTCACAGAGGGACAGGCTGGGGCCCAGGAGGGAAAAGACTTGCTCACACCCCTCTGCTCTGAGCCGTGGGTCACCTCACCCTCCAAAGTCCTCTCTAGGGCCCTCATCATCTGACTGGGACTCCTGAAGGAGGGTGTCAGCTGTAAACCCTTCTCCGCCTCGATGGCTTTATCTGACATCTTGGTTGCAGTGTGGGGAACACAAGGTGCACAGCCTGTTGTCACACAGAAACAGAGTGTGAGACCCCAAGTGCT